CCCCAAAACCCCAAAACCCCAAAACCCCAAAACCCCATTTACTAAAAATTGGACTGAAAGTTTTAAGCTGGTCTTAGATTTTAGTGAAGAGGGAGTATATCTTCTCATGGCTCTCAAAGATCTTGAAAACTTTCTGGTTTGCTCCTTTGGAAACTTGTAAGTGTCTCCTGATGATTGAAACTGTTTCCTATATGAAGATAGTAGAGATCTTTGAGAAATGAAATAGCTTCAAGAAATTCTAGAAATTTTTCTTTGATTCTAATTTTTAAGGGGAATCTTAAACCAAGTTAGAGGCTCTTCAGATAGAGCATAAGCCAATCAAGTGAGTAACTAAAAATTAAATCCAAGCATTTAGATTAGTCAGAAGTCCTTACAGCTACTGCATCAAAGCTAGGTGTTTCTTTACACTTCAAAAGCATAGAACTAAGACACTCATACGCCTTAATCTGATTTTCTGCATCTTTCACAAAGTAACAATACTTCAAAACCTCCTTAACCAGTCTAAAATGCCCTTCCTTCAGCTCCTCGACCTTCATCACGTACGCATACACATCCTGGGGCTGGATGATCCCATAGTCCCCTCTCATAAAGATCTCCATAAAATTGTACAACTTGACTGGAGTTTTTTCCCACATGGTATAAAGTCTTTCCACAAATTTAGCCTTATCACTGAACCACTCTTTAAACTTTGTACTGTAAGTGTCCACAACTTTGACCATGAACGAGTAGTTTCTATTGGCTTTACGGAAAATAGATTCGAATAAGAACTCTTGCTTTTCTTCCTCAGTGCAAGTAAGGTTCTCGCCTTCGTAAAATTCCTCAAATTCCTGCACTTGGTCTTCTTTGAATCTGAGTTTTTCGACTAGGTTTTTGATATCGTCTTCGTCCTCGCCGTGAACGAAGAGAGGAGTTCCGAAGGATTCCTGGACCATTTCTTTAGGAAGCCCTACCCTTTCACAGAAGAAAACTAACTTTTGGGGGTAGCTAGGTAGATGTCAGTTCTTGAATAATCTCTTCAACATATTTGTAGTGCAGACTCTCCTTATCAGTGATTTTCTTGAGCACAGTATTGCCAATATTGAAGCCTTTATGGTTGACAAGTCTCGCATAAAACTGGATGAACCTCTCTCTAACTTCTGGGTCCATTCTTGGCATTTTCTTGATCATTAGATTCACGGCTTCAACCGGACATCTCCTCCACATCTTACAAGAAAATGATGAATAATAGAGGAAGTCTCACCTGGATTTTGGAAGTTGGAACATTTCACTAAGCAAAACATCATAGATAGTTCTTTCAAAGAGCTCTCCATTTTCTTCCAAGTGTTCTATCTGCTTCAAGGCATTGTAGCAAACCTTGTCGTATCTAGTGAGGATGTTGGCAATAGTGTCATAAGTCAGGAAGTAGTCGAGTTCGTCTCCTTCGTATCTATCAATCACATATCTTTTTAACACTCGTGACCTGTACATGTTCTCTTGATCTTTTTGTGTATCTAGCTTGAGTTCATCAATATTTACACCTTTCAAGAGTGGCTCTTTTACAGTGAAATCATCAAGAAGTTCAGAGTGAAGAATGTACTTCATCTTTTTGAGCTCATGTACTTCTTTAGATTTGTAGCACTTCCATATCTCTTCAAGCTCAAACATAGCATCTTCATTGTCGTCAGGGAAGTCTTCATATTCATCTTCCTTGAGCTCTTCAAATGGCTCTCTTTCACCTTGGGTGACTCCATCAGGGGTCTTGAAGAGGGAAATTTTCTTAGTTTCTTCGGCTGGCTTCTCTTCTTTAATCTCCTCTTTCGACTCTTCAGTTGGAGCTTCAGCTGTAGGTGCCTCTTCTTTGTCCTTGTCTTTGGACTCATCTTTCGTCTCATCTTTTGTCTCATCTTTTGTCTCTTCTTTCTTTTCTTCTTTTAAAGTGCAAGGAATCAGTGTATCTTTTTCCTTATCAAAATTTCTGAACGGTTTAAGATATGCTGGCACTGGTTTCTTCTGAGACTCAATATATTCGCCAATCTTGTCCATGTACCCCTCTACAAGCATGTTCTTCTTCTTGGATAGAGACTGAAAAAGTGGAACAGAGAATAAGAAGGCAAAAGCTACAAGGTTGCTTTTCATTTCAGACAACTTCTTGAGAATTGAATAGTAAATGGTCTCCTCTAAAACCCCATTTATAGAGCAAAAACCCAAGAATCTCAAGCAGGCAGTCAGAGCCATCCTATCTGATTCTTCAAAAGCTCTGGGGAGTTCGATCACAATGACTTCTTCAAGAGCAGTTGTCACTAAGAGTGAATTGATCTTAGTACATAGAGCCGCATATAAAATACTTTTATGGGCAAGCCTACCAAAGGCTTTAGGCAAAAGTTCGATTATCATCTCTCCATATCTCTCTACTCCAAGATTGATCTCTCCAGCTGTGTAGATAATTTCAGTGCTGTCTTCTCCGACTCTGAGGATCTTTTGTCTCATCCTAAAAGGGGTGAAAATGGCCAATTACTTGACGTCTTCTGGGGGATCTCTTCTTTCTCTAAACCTACCTCTTCTACCAGGGATGGGATTTCCATCTATTAGGAGTAACAACTTAGCTCAAAATGGAGAAGACTTACCTTCATCGACACATTTAGGCTTCGATGGTATATCATTTGCAACGTTGTTAGTGCACGAAGGCTTTATCTGTTCAGGTGACTCGGCTTCCATTAGGATCTTAGTAAAGTTATTATATTTCAGTCGAGATTTGCCCTTAAGGGGTTTTGGGGTTTTGGGGTTTTGGGGTTTTG